AACATGCTTGCACACAACACATTGACATCTTACTTTGGATCAATCGCAGCGCGCGAGATAACTGCTTATTTAACCAACATGCTTGCACACAACACCATCATGGTTAACGCATATCCGTACCGTGAGTTTTTCAGTCATACAATACTATTTCTATTAGTAAGTTCAGTAGCAGTAGCCAATTTTACTGATTGTTGAATAATGGCGTCATTGACCTCTGCTACCAGACTCCTTTTCACACTTTCTTTTATTCAGTTAATTATTAGCTGAAGTCAAATGACGCCATCATGCAAACGTCCTATTGGCTTCCGCATTCCCTCAAGGGCTGTGATTTAATAAAGTCGTACGTTTTCGTTATCATTTGATTGGTTCGGGACATTAGCCATTTAAGCGTCGCGTCAGGTCTTCACCACGTTTCCCAATGATACAAAAATTATTCTATTTTATTATTTTCCTTCTTTTAAACTTTCTTGACGGGATGATAATATTATCCTACGTTATGTTGCAGTCACATGGCTTGAAAGAAGCTGACGTTCAGTTTTCTCAGGACGCAGTGAAGTCCATAAGTAAGTCATATCCTGGAAGGATTAAGACATATGTATATATTCGTATGAACGTATGTATGAGGATATGTCTGGTGTATAGAGGCTTTGCACCATCACGTGATGGCAGCCATGACAGGAGGCAGGAACACTAATTGAATATGGTCTAATATGATTTACATTAAAAAATTTAGTTTCCCAGGGGAGAACGACTCTATTGTTGTGCCTCCTGTCATGGAGATTATGGAGATGGTCATACGGATTGGGGATTGCTATTTTAATGTTTCATTGTGATTTCAGTTTCTAGTTACACTCGCGAAGCTGGTGTTCGTTCGCTGGAGCGAAATCTTGGCGCGCTCTGTCGATCAGTAGCTGTGAAGGTAAATAAAATATTAACCTCTCTTTTTTATGTTCATGTGTCCTTAGCAGCATATGAACGGTGTGGATTTATTTCTTCTGTCAATTAAAAATGTATTAACTCAAACGGTTACAGATTACATAAAACATGCCAAAACATGTCGCTTTTGGAGTTGCCTACCTTTAGCACGACGTTCTTGCTAGGTACCGCAAATCTCAAACTGCAGTTCGACGTCAGAAATCTAACCATGCTTATTACTAAAGCAAACAGCATGTCTCACTTGGTGTTTTTCATGGAATTTTTTTCATAGTTTGCAGAGAAAAACGCCACGAATTTCGAGCCAAAGGACGAAAAAGACGCGCAAACAGAAGATAGCACGGGAAAGGATGTCAAGGCTGCAATAAGTAATGGTGACATTCAAGTACCGTTCACCATCACTAAAGAATTCGTGGTAAAAGTCCTTGGGGTGAGTGGACTGAACCGCACAACACTGCACCAGCATTCGCTTACGCTTACGCAGTGCTCTTTTTGCACTTCTGGACTTAATAGAAATTGGTATAAACAAACTAATGGATTAATACAATTCCTGCATTCTAATTGGCTGCTGTTAATTCTTCTAGTGATAGCCCCCTATAAATATATACCTAAACAGATAAATACATCATGGACTCTGGCTTCTGCCTCGCGCGTTTGCGGTGGGCTGCGTTTCCAATAAAAGTCCCAAATGCCTTGCACCATTAAATTGCCTCTGCTCCAGCTTTATGCTTGTTTTTGAAATGGCCTTGGTGCCTTCTCTTTATAGTTATTAAACTGAAGACTCTACCTGATATTTCCTCTTTTTAAGTCATCGAACTGAATGGCACGTATTTGCTTGTATTCGTAATACCTGCCATCTTAGGCGCTCAAGACATCCACTATCGATATAGTCGTAAGCTGCGCAGAGTCTGAAGTCTGATCAACTGACATCCTTTTCATATATCTAATTTTAATCTTTCAGCCTCCAATTTTCGAATCAGAAGTCGCGCAACGATTAGCTGTACCAGGTGTTGCCACAGGTATTTCATCTATAATTCTTCTAATAAACTTCGACGATACGGCGGCCATCTTGTCATGGGGCAAAACGAAACAAAGATAACGAAAAATACATAGAGTTACGTGTGTTTGTCTTTCTTTTTGGGGTAATTCATCATTAATTCATATTTTGTCGTATTCTCTTGTGGTGAGCCGTTAATATCAATCGACTTCATTACAGCAAAGCTTTATTTGCCCCCTGGACGCCCCATAATGCCTTGTGTTCCAAGATGGTCGCCGGTTTGTCGAAGTAGTCCATTGTAGTGTTCTTCTAAATAGAAGCAGTATCTGAAGTAATGAACATCTACCTTTGGCTATAGTGTAATGCCCTTTCATCCCTTGATTATTATTTCTTTATTGACCAGTAACGCTCGTAAAGACCAAGAGCAAAAACTTATTCTTTATGAGATGACGCGGTTTGAAATGGAAAAACATTACGCCCAAGCTCATTAAGTCTAGTAATTAGGAAGAAAACGATTTGCGCAAATTTCATGCGCGTTTTCATAGCCGATTCCAGAACAGATATCAGTAGACACCAATAGTCCCCTTCACAGTTCCCTGCACCATCTTGAAAGTTAACCGTGCCTGTGCATCGAAGCGAGACGAACGGTGACCTTGCAATAATAGAGACATGTGAATAATTGTTCAAGGTGTTGAAAAAGGTCTCTATCATCGCAAGGTCACCGTTGTCCTCGCTTCGATGCAAATGCATGATTACCTTTCTTTTATCTATGAGATATTCAAAAGTAGATATATATTTGATTGTTGTAAGGAATGCGCGCTTAAGACCATACACTTGTCATTCCCCTGCGTATTGTTTCATTCTTTAACGACGTAGCCCAAGAAGATCCAGGACTCAAACATTTCAGTCGGGAAAAGGGATTACTAGTAATGAACCAGTAAGATCATTCTTCAAGAATTTCTGGTTGTATGCATTCTCCATAGGGCTAGCATGGACTGCGATGGGTGGAGAGATAATGTTTGTAGAAGCTACACGTATGGGAGGTGAAGGACAACTTACTCTCACTGGACAACTTGGTGACGTCATGAAGGAGTCTGCGCAGTTGGCTTTAAGTTGGCTTAGGAGTCACGCGGTTGAGGTGAGAATTTTCTAGAAATTTCTAGCATCTTCACCTGATCTAAAAAAAAGTTAGAAAAAAAGTTAGCCAATCAGAGTCGAGAAAATTTGCATAATACTCTTAAAAACATAGATTTCCATATTCCACCAAATAAAAGTTGCATATTAAAGGTTAATAAGTTCTTGATAATAGTGTCACAATATTTAATGATTTTGATATTTTTATTCCGATGGCGGGCATGTTTTTATTTTTTGGTGGTCAATTTTCGCAGGGTTCATGACCCCTCAGTATTTCTACGTCACTATTTCAGATCTTCTGTGGCCATAGATGCCAAAAAAATCTAACAACGTTTCTTTGTTTTCTCAGTATGATCTCGCTAGTGATCATGAAGTAGACTTGGTAGGAAGGACAGATATTCACGTGCATTTTCCTGCTGGTGCTGTTGGCAAAGATGGTCCTTCAGCCGGGTTAGCCATCGTAGTGGCATTGGTTTCTCTTTTCAGGTAAAAATTAATTAAAATTACTTAAAAGAATTAATTAAAAGATTTTTTTTTAGTTTTGACATTTTGGACACTTGTTAGAAAATCAAGGGTGGTGTGATGGTAGTGCAGTCACCTCTCACCTCTCTAGGGTCTCGGGCTCGATCCCAGGACTCGGCATCACCTTCCAACCGGTGAACAGAGTTCGTTGAGTCAGGAAGGCTGTCTCTCCTTGATGCGAGGATTTTTCTCCGGGTTCTCCGATTTTCCTCCCTCCCCAAAACCCAAAAAGCTAAATTCAAATTCAATATGTGAGTTAGCGGTACCCTGTCTTTGATTAGACCAGAAGTTGTTTTAGGGTGTTCTTAAAATTTGAAAGGTTTTTGCACAAAAGTCCAGGAAAAGACTCTTTTTCATGGTTGCGCGCGAACCTTTGAAGCAAGCCAAGGACTTCAGTCAACCAATCTAATCTACACTGATCTAACCATCCATTTGTTTTCAGCGGTCGATGCACGAGATCTGACACAGCAATGACTGGTGAAATAACACTTCGTGGACTCGTACTCCCGGTAAAGTTTAGAGAAAAGTGATAATGTTTATTGTCCGTAATTTCACATTTTTTTGTGACAGTCCGGCCTAAGGATTCTTACAGTATTTGCCTTCAATACTGCGCAGAGTAATATTGGAGTCAATATTGTATAGTCTGTACTGTAGCTAACGATTAAATGTTCGTATTTGTAGGTGGGAGGAATCAAAGAGAAAATCCTTTCAGCTCATCGTGCCGGCATAACCAGGGTCATACTTCCCAAGAGGAACGAAAAGGTACCACTACTTTTCACTATGGCTGCGTTTACACGGTACCGTGTAATATCCGCATACCATTTTTAAAGGTGCTGACACAGGATGCCCTGGGCGGACTTGCACACGTCGCTTCTTGCGAGGAATATCACACCGTGTTTCCTAAAGATGTCACAGTTACTAAATCTCAGTGCGCTGTGGGCGGCGACGTCGGTTGTCATGTACGTCGCATGGATGCGCATATGTTACGAACTTCCCCGTCATTATGGCGCCGCCGGCGTCGTGTGTCCGCAAAGCAAAGTTGATTTGACAAATTTAGATGCGCTTCGCATTTACGCAACATACGAAGGACCTTGAGACAAGTCTATGCACTGTAGATTTATTTTATTTCCTACTGATTGACAATCTCTTCTTTCAGGATTTACGCGAAATTCCCGAAAATGTTAAGGTGAGTGTTAGGATACTAAATTCAGGTATATTTTTCCGGCTGCGCACCCGTCCAAATCCAAGAAACTTGATGGGCTAAGAAGCGAGAACCAAAGTTTTGGGACGAAAATTGGCAAACTCGTTTTTGGAAATTTTTCTATGGAAAAAATCACATACATATTTGAGGATAACCAAATACGAATTATAAATAATAACTGAGTACGATTTTTCATCACAACCACTCTTTTAACAGTTTGAGGGACGTCAAATTTGTAAGCGCAAATCAATGAAACTTTTTAAAAATTCTACTTTGTTTGCATCGATTTATGTATGTATGGTATCTGTCCTGTGGCCTCTGATTGGGTTGTAGCTTATTATTTGAGATCATGGCAGTCAAAGCTATTAAAGACCGATTAATGTCAGTAATTGGGGATAAAGGCATTTAGTAGTCAGAACAATGCTCTCTAAGGCTCAGGTCAAACGTTGAACTTCACATGAGCCGAACCAAATTGAAACAATGGATAACAAGGCGGTCTTCTTTGATATTATTAAGTTCGGCTTATGTGAAGTTCGACGTTTGACCTGGGCCTAACATTGCTATATATGACGGGTTTTTTTTCAGAATGACTTAGAAATCCTTACAGTACAAAGTGTGGAAGAAGCATTACGAGTCGCATTCGAAGATGGCTTTCCATTCCTTAGGATAACGAATATCGTTGGTAGAAGCAAATTATAACAGAATATTAATGATGAATCAGTCGTACAGTGCTGCACAAAGCGTAGCAAGATGGCAGAGAAAAGGAGATTATTTTATCAATAGAAGCTATTGTCCTTTGAATGTATATAGACCACACCAGAACAAGTATTTTCATAAAATCATTATAAAGTCATATCCATGTGAACAGAAGAAAAAGTTAAAGCAAAATAGCTTTAAATGCATGACAAATAGTCTATCAATCACAAGCATGCACAAAACTATAAGCAAATCGTCTTAAAAAGTTGCTTGGCGTTTTTACTCAGTTGCCCCAAAAGCAAGAGTTCATTGATTGTTAGACAGTTTGTGCTTGAAAGATAACTGCGCGATCTTAAAATATGAATTACTAGGAGCCAGGCCACAGGAAACCTTAAGCTTCTGTAATGTTTGAAAAACAAAAGAAAATCTAATGACTTTCAACAGTCCTTGCGAAAAACGTGGATTTGCGAAGGCTGATGTTTTGACTTTTTTCCTAATATTTATAGAAAACTTTTGGGGTTCCTGTGCCCATCCTGAAGTTGTTTAAAAGATCTATCCTTAAAGTGCCTATCACCCTTCTGACAATACTCTCAGTGTTGATTCTACATGGGGTAAGATGTGGAATAACCCGAAAATATTTCATAGTTTGAGTGCGGCTTCTTGAAGTTATAAAGGTTTTTCCATGCCATATGCTAATGCTGTGACGCATGAGGAGGCATTTATGGTTATTTGTTGTTCCTCGYAATTCGAAACACCGGCTTCTATGTGAAAACTAACTTGCAATAATTTCTATAAGAGCAATGGGAAAAACAATGACGTATTCCAAATTTTATTTATGTGTGCCAGTAATGTTTTGTATATTTTTAATAAAAGATTACTCCCCATACGTCACAACATTAGCATATGGCATGGAAAAACCTTTATAACTTCAAGAAGCTGCACTCAAACTATGAAATATTTTCGGTTTATTCCACATCTTACCCCATGTAGAATGTAGAATACTGTGAATATTATCAAAAGGGTGATAGGCACTTTAACAATATATAGGCTAAGCTTATACATGCCGCAAACAATGCAAATATAGTCAGTCTTGATGGTTGTATCAGATACATAGGGTTTCTAATTGATTTGGTATAAAATTGTAAATATTTTTTTAATGAAGCAAACTAGATTTGAAGCTATGGGTACATAACACAAAGCGTTTCAGTGATAAAACGAGGTGCGTCGTTTTTGGGGCCTGAAACACGTTGGATTCAAGGATCAGCTAAGGATTCTTGATAGCACGTAAACGGTAATAAGCGTTGTCAGATGAATCAATTCTTGTCCTTCAATTCCTCTCTTTCTTTGGGACATTCCTCTTTTTGACCCTCTGAATTGCGTTATAGGGTATAAATAAAGGATCTAAACCCTTGAAGTTCGATTTTTCACCAATTTTATTTGGCGCACGAATAATATAATGTGGGGTTCCTGTGTTGTGAGTATTTTCACACCTGTAGAGCGTGCAATGACCCATGAGTCAAGGGAGTCGCGGGAATCTTTGTGGTCCATGTGACTGAACCAGCTCTTGTCGCTCTAGAGTGAATTCACATTTGAAAGCTTAAATACTAGTAAATACTACCAAAATCAAGGTAAGTTTGGTCAATTCAGTTGTGTTCTTGTTAGGTATAGTATTTTTGATTCAAGAATGTGTGCGCTTTTCGGTTCTAATGCTAAAAAAGACGAAGATGTTTGCTGTAGACACCGCGGTGACTTCGTGTTGTTGTATTAAGATTGCGCACTTTAAGCTTATAAAGGCCGCTATTGTCTTTAAAATTCCGAGATTACTTCGTATTCTTCTAGTTAAGTGTTCATTTTGATAATATCAATGAATAGAATATAGAATATATACGGTTTTCTAGTTCACTTTGATCCTAATTTCATGTAGCCTATCCGCAAATCTCCGACTTAAAATTAAGAGGTGTGAGTTTGACTGTCTCGATTATGCTAAACTTAAAATTATTCCTTTAAAATACATAAGATACCGACAAAGAACGCTTCTTCTTGAAATTGCCGTCTATTATGGTGGGTTTATCGTAATTACAAAAGTAAAAATAATGAAAAATATAAGGTAAACAATAGTGTCGCAAAATGAATGAAGCCACTGTTGCTAATAGATTAGAAATATGTCAAGTTTATAAGCTTACTTTTGCAATATAACAATGGGTTTTTCAAGAAAAATAATTCTTAACTAAAAACGGTTAGCACGAATGATTCTCCGTGGGAAGATTGACTATTTTCTTAGTTGATTTTCAACAATTTTTGGCAGAATCTTTTAGACATATTGAGCCATGTGTTGAACCATGCCTCTGTGATCTAGATCTTGTAAACACGAAATTTACGAAGAAAATTCCGGATCTGACGCAGGCTACGAAAATTGCGCTCCCTGCAAGATTAAAGCGATTCTGTAATTAATGTGTAAGTATGTAACCTGATGTGAGACAAAAGAAAGGTTTTCAAGTAGTATGAGACTTGCAGCTGATTTTGTTTGACTTTACCCTTCAATAACTTTGGTTTCAAAGGTCCATACTATTCCAGGAATTCCTACAAAACCTCTGGAATTTAAAAAATGGTCTTTTTCATTACAATGGACAAACTCTCATTCCTGGAATTGGTTTCCTGGAATTTTATGCATATTGTTTTCTGATTGCTTAGGTGCTGACAATCATGGTTTTATCCAGCGAGATTCAGATTAGAAGATCTTGTGCCTATAAGCCATTAAGAAAACCTTCAGCGCCTATCAGTAAAACATCAAACAGAGCCAACTTCTCTGAAGAACTGGTTCGTGGATTTGAGAGCAAGATCCTCCTCTTGGATGAGGATTGCTTTAAAACAGCAGGAGACGCCATAGAGAAAGAAATATTGTCATCATTAAATGAAGGGACTCTAACTACCATTACATGTCTGCAACTATTCCTGGACACTGCCTGGAAAGACAGAAACAGAACTCCTATAATTGCTGAGATTTTCCACAATATTGCTCAAGATCATGATGATGAATCTACAACAGGCTTGACAGTACTGCTTGAAAAGAGCTGTAATGATCTTTTGAATATTTTGACATGTCTTGGAAAGCCAGAGGTCAACGATATCCATATTGTTACCTTACTTTCCAATTTGTACCGGCTTGAAACCCTACCTGAAGAACACCGAGAAGGAGTTGAAAGCTTCCTTGTAGATATTGCCAAGGCATTCTGGCCTTACTTTGTGCCACAGAAGCGTGAAGTTTGGGACAACGAATTAGTGTCAGATGCCATTTGTGATGTCTTCCACACAGTAGGCAAGGTCCTTGAGATAAAGTGCCCAGTCAATATGGAGCGAACATTCAATAAGATTACAACCATGCTATTCTCAGCGAACGTCATCTCTGAATACACCAGATTAAGACTTCTAGAAGTGAAGGAGAACAGAGCTACAGGATGGATTTTGCCAGATTCTGCAAGAGATTATTACAAAGCTGCATTCTTAAAAGTAAGTTTCAGTGCTTAGTAATGTACTTTACATTAAACCTTCAAGTTTCATTGATATCCTTGAACTGCCTCTTTGCTTATCAAAGTTAGGGCATGGCTAGCTTGCATATAAAATTCATGATAGTATAGCTAATGTGCATGAGCTGGGTAATCCACGACCGGCAGAACGACGCCTGGGAGTGGATGAACAAATAATGAATGGTGAGATAAAACAAAGAACGCAGCTCACATGTAGAACAATACACATTGTTCACCATAATCCATGCCTTCTTTGTTTTTGTTATTTTGTTCAATCCCAAGCTTTGTTCTACCAGTGGACACCAACCCCATGAGCATGAATCTCTATCACAAAGCATGATTGGAAACTAAGTACTTATGCTTTTTGCCTCTTAATATTCATCTGATAATTTTTCTTTTGATTTTTTCTACTATGTAAGTATGTCAACAGACAAAAAGAACAGTAATTTTTTTGTCATTGTTTGATTTCCATTTTTGCATTACTGGTTTGTAAGAGTGCTTTGTGAGCTTTGATGCACATTGTCTATTTAGCTTGTTAGCCTTGAAACAAAGAATTAATAAGAGCTTAAGAAGACAGGATGCAAGTTTAGTTAAAATTTAATTACAGCAAGTGTTGTGCTTTCATCCATGATCTATCCACTTCAAAGACAACTCCCCATTTGTCAAGCTAAAACTCTTATACATGCATTTAGTTTTCATTTGAGTGCAACTTCTGATGATCCCCATATGTCTGTATAACATAGCACTTCATTACAGTGACAGGGACTGTGATAAATCGTGGGAAAAACCATAACACCCTGAAGATTTACATGGCATAATTGCTCACCATGTCTTAAAACTCCTTAGTATAAGTACACAGGTGATTATTGAAAATCTCACGTGCTGATTGGTTGAGAAACTCAGATCATCACACGATAATTACCTCGAACGATAATCCAAAATGGTGGCCAGCCACTATGTTGCTGGTACCGGGGAAAAATGTGTCTTCTTTTATTTTTTTTTAGAAAGAATCACCTGTGTATTTATACTAAAGCAATTATTCACCTCAGGATCAGTGAATATCGGGAATAATAACCTCAACTTCGTTTCGGTTATTATTCCCAGATATTCACTTCACCTACGGCGAATAATTGTTAATTATAATAATAACTAGTCATACTTATTAATAACATAACTTGAGACCTAGTGTTTGTTCTTAAAAAAAGGAATCTGAATGTGCAAATGAAGTAATAAAGTTGAGAAAGGGTGTTTTAAAAGTGAGGAAATGCATTCAAAGTTAATTGATCATCTAGAAATATTGAAATATTTCTAGGTGCCCATGATTTTTCGATTTGCACTGTAATACAGAGTGTATAGTTTTATATTTTTCAACACCTAATCATTCTTGTATATATATCATCAGCTTCCCAGAAACAGACACAACTCCTCTCCAAGGCCAGCTTCACCCAGCTCACCAAGTTCTAGTGTTGAGGATGTATTTATTACCAGTGCTGAGAATTCCCCACCTACAACGCCGACAACAGAAACCAAAAGGGAATTCCTGAAACACGATAAATATGAGGTAACTGTCTGTGGAAACTGGACCACAGTATCTGAAAAACCCCGCCACCCTTTTGTCATTCGCATTAAACCCAAACCTTTACCTGAACAAAACAATAATATAACTTCTGTGACTAATAACTCCACTGCACGAATAAACTCAAATCCTACCAGCAAACAACCTGAAGATGAGAAATTACAGAATATCTCAGAGCAGGAATGTACAGATCATTTGGAAATAGGTAAGGTTTCAACTCCTAAAATCAAAGGGTTCCAGGACCAAAGCTGTGGCTTTGGATCTCCAAATGGCTCTGATAATTCTAACTTACAAGCTGGTAAAGATTTTCAGGAGGGCAGAAAATCCTATGAAAACTGGAGTGAGTCTCATTCACCAAGCTTTACAGAGTCACCGTTCAATAGACATAATTCCTTTGACAATGAAAGCTCAAGCATTCGGCAGAGACTTTCATCAACAGGAGAGATGAATCATCAGAGGAGATCACCATTTAACAGAAATGGAGGACTTCATAGATCACATTCCGAGAGTAGCACTGGTGAAGCATCTTACTTTAGACAGGGGCAGAGCCCAAATGGGTGTGACTCAACTGGTTTTGGACATCCTGATGGTGAAAGGCTCCACTCCTGGAGACCTAACTATCACAGGCAGACTAGTAATGACAGCATTGGTGAGTCATCTTACTCTAGACATGGGCTGAGCCCAAATGGGTGTGAGTCAACTGGTTTTGGACATCCTGATGGTAGCAGATTCAGTTCTTGGACACCCAACTATCAGAGGCAGACAAGTTATAATAGATGGAGGAGCAATCTAGGTAAGTCCTTGAGAGTCTTTCTGCTATTAAACTGTTTAAATATACATAGTTTTTTTAACCGTTTTTTAAAGATGTGTTTACAGTGCAACGTTGCAAAAGTATGACCACATTCAATATTTTTGAATGCTTCTATGCACTGGCTTTTTGCTACCAACCAAGCATGCTTTATTTTGTAAAACCAGCCAGCTTAGCATTGAAATGAAATATCTAACATTATATAGACCTCCTTGGGTCTGGAGCATGATGTTTTCCCATTTCAGACACATGTCACTCCCTTGAGAATAATATCCTTTGTTTGAGTTGTATCAATATTCATGTGTCTTCTCATGTGCAACCGAGTGCAAACTTTAAACAAAGTAATGATACTCTAGGGAATGACACGTGGTCTGAAATTGGAAACATTATGTAAGAGCTGAAGAGGTCTATTAAAGCCCATGCATATAAGTATGGGAATACATTAAATGTGGTCATACCTTTGCTTGTTGCGCTGTAAGAGGAACTGGTAGGTAGTAATCCCTGGTTATGCACTGGTCCTTGTATCTTAAACATTGATCATAATATATAAAATAACAAATAGATCAATAAACTATCCTTGTTTTACAAAGGTAGCACTTACTAGCCAGTGACTTACAAAACTGCTGCCCTCCTTTCATCATCAATCTGGAATTTAGAATTCAATTTTTTGCAGAATGAATATATAATACTGATGCATAAATACTAATTAATAAAGCAGTGGGAGGTTCTGAACAAGAACATCAATGAGGTCTGTTGAGGAGCTTGTATTCTTCCACTACCTTTAGTTTATCCTCAGTCTGTTTGATTATGCAACGCAGATTGTTTACCTTCTGCAAGTGCACCAAAACTTTGGTGTTAAGAAATTAGAAATGCTACTTTCTTTGTTGCAAATGTAGTTATTTGGTAAAGTGCATGCTATATATCCATGAGAAAGTTGACTAACAAAATTGTACAAATCAGGCCAAAGTTTTGTGGGTCTCTTTTTTATAGTAGTAATAAATTATGCCCTTGGCGGGAATCGAACCCACGTCTTCGGTATTCCAGTCCGATGTGTTAGGACCAAGCACGCTGGTATTGCAACCAGAATATGAAATTTAGGGTACTCGTGAGGATCCCAGAGCGATATTTTTTCTCTATAGGTAAGTTGAACACCGTAAATATGTACGCAAAGAATAGACATAGTATAGTAGTAATAAATTATACGTTGTGGTCTATTTTTTACTGAACTTACTAGACCTTATTAATTTGTGCACTTGTCAAATATACTAACATTATTTTTTTCTGGTTTTAGAATTTCCTGTAAAGGAAGTCCTTGAAGGAGAAGACATTGACACCAGTTCTCGGTTATATCTTTTGAGCTTTGCTACAAGACCAGCAGCATTAGAAAGACCTGCTGATTTGACTTTAACTCCTGAAGTAGAAGYTGAAAAAGAGTGGTTGAAATGTTTGATATTGGATGAGGTAAAGGCCAGATAAATGTATTAACTTTATGTTGAAAATATGAATTGAATTAGAGTAGTGGAAGACAAATTTGATCCATCAACCTGCCAATGCATTCATCCATTCATTCATTCATTCATTTAGTCACCCATCCATTTGTCCACCCATGCAGTTGTTCGCTCATTCTTCTCATCCATCCAACCATCCATCCGATCCACTCATTCACCATTTCATCCATCCATTTGTCCACCCATCCAGCTGTTCGCTCATTCTTCTCATCCATCCAACCATTCCATCCATCTATTTATCCCATCCTTGCATTTGTTCATCCACTTATACTTCCATCCATTTATCCATACATCTATCCATATTTGATCAATCATTAATCCATCCATTCACCTATTTGTTCAAATTTTGTTTTAATCCACCTCCCTCCCCCCCCCCAATCTGTGTTAATATTTGATTTTTAAAAAATTGATTGTATTTTTAAGCCAAATACTGTACTGGATCGCTTTGGTCAGTAGTTATCGCTTGGAATTTTTCAAGAAATATTTCACCATGGTAGCAGGAAACATATTAAACTGTGGTGGAGATGGAAATCTTTTGAAAAGCTCTAAAGATCCCAGCATCCATCAGTTGTAGTTCTTCAAGAAATGGATCAAGAGTGAAGGTCCAAACATCATTATTAAAAATGAAACTGCTGTATAGATGGAAATATTTAAGAACCTCTAAAGATCCCAGCATCCATTATTTGGTGTTCTTCAAACAACAATAATGGAGGTCAACAGTTGAGGTCGAAAGCATTATAAAAATGAAACTGCTGTAGAGATGGAATTATTTAGGGAACCTCCAAATATCCCAGTTCATTCAAAAACTTATGCTGCAGCCAATATGTAGGAACCCTAAAAGGTTCCACACTTTTCATCTCCTGGAATTGGTCAAGAAATGGCTCCATTTTTCTAGAAGACAGATGCCAAACAAGCATCATGTTGTGGTTTTGGGAGATCTAAAAGTTTAACAAGCCCACTAATGCATGCTATGTGCATAGATTACGTTCCTTATTTAAATAATTTACTTAATGGATAAGGACTTGCATTGTATTTTCCATTGTAATTTCCACTTTTAGCGTTTTGTTCAGTTAATTATGTTTACAGATATATACAGACACTGCTATATTACCGACACCTCTATATTACGGACAGATATTTAGGTCCCGTCAAGACCATCATACGTTCTTTGTTTCATAGATCCGACCCTATATTAAGGACACCTCTAAATTAATGACACTTCTATATTAAGGACACCTCTCTATGTACACCTCTCTATGTGAGGACACCTCTATGTAAGGACACCTCTATATTAAGGAGGCCTCTATATGTAAGGACACCTCTCTATATAAGGACACCTCTCTATTTAGGACACCCCTATATAAAGAATACCTTTCTATTATGGACTTTTTTTTCTGGCCCTTTAGTGTCCGTATTATAGAAGTTCCACTTCATACAGACGAAGTTAGTATTCGTGATTCGTCGGAATTAAAGTACAGTTGTAAACATTTTTACATATTCTTTAAGTTTCCTTGTTATGCACTTGTATTCAACACACCAATGCAGTCCAAACTAGTATGAGTTAATCTTTTACCATATCAACTGTAAACAATAATGGGGGGGAAAAAAAAGAAAATTCAGAATGTTTTATTTACAAAAATAAAAAGTTTAAAAGAAAGTGAAAATATATTCTTTATGAAAGTAGTATCGAACCTCGCAAAGTCGAAAATGACATCCAGATGTGGCAGTTCGTTAGTAATAGGCCTATTCGATAACCGCGTGATCTCATTATAATCTAGTTATATTTTTAAAATGCAGTAGTGACTGCACAGTTTTCGGAGCCAGAGCGCGGACTCGTTGCTAAAACAAACTAACTTGTCATCGCTAATCACCATCGCTAAGTACAGCAGTGGCGCAGCTCAAAGGGGTCGAACTCAAAGCATGTGAAGGCGCCTCTGGCAGCCCCTGTACAGTCCATGTATGACCCCGAAGCACAGCTCTAAAGTCGTGTATGACCCCGAAGCACAGCTCTAACCAGTTTGAATTAGTTAGGGTTGATTTGGAAGGAGCGAGGAAAAACCGGAGGACCGGAAAAACCCTGGGAGTTGGAAAGAGAACCAACCAACTCGGCTCACATGCAGCGACGCCAGATCAAATATGAATTTAAAAGTTGGATTTTGTGGAGAAGGGGAAATCGGAGAAATCCCCTCGAAGCACAGAAGAAAACAAACAACTCCACGTACGGCGCCCAGTTGGGGAATCGAAACCCTAACCGAGTCCCGCTGCTTATTGGTTCTCTCCTGTGCTTCAAAGGTTTTCCGGGTTCTCCGGCTTTCCTCCCTCTGTAAAAATCAACTTCTAAATTCCAATTGGAATCCAGTAGAAGAAGAGCCACTATGTGGAATCCTCTGTTAATCCCATTATTTATTTGTAGTACTAAAACGTATAGATGCCAAACATTTTAAAATCTAGGCTACGCTCCTATGTCCTTGTCCCATGTATTAAGTTGAAATCATTCAGGCTCTGTTGATGGCAGTAAAATTTTTGCTCTTGATATTCGCATGCGATTTCCGCTATTCAAAAGCAGGAGATGCTAAAAAGAGGGACTTATTAATAACGTGCGCGCACTTGCTGCTAGCCTAAGCGAGCCGTGAAAAGTTTGCTGCTTTTATTAATAAGAACCTAATATTATTTCAATCCTAGGCATTCGTCATCCTGCGATAGAAAGGGCATTGGGCAATGTCTGAACAACTCGTGAAGGATATTACATTACATAGCCAAAGCAAGAAATCTGATCGGAAAGGTAACCAAAAACCGCAAAGAGTATAACCGACCAACCTTCAATCTGTTGGAGCATGTTATTTTCTATTTGTACGTATTGTGAAATATCAAAATTAAGACTAGCTCCATCCAATGTAATTATAGACAAAGATAGAAAATGATGTCATGCGCGTGCTCTGCAATATATAACAAGCCCGGGCTGAATTCCTACCGTTAGAAAAATTAACCCTAGTCCATGTAGCATTTTACAAATATCAGTCGTAGCTAAGTCACTGGCAAAGGTTTATGAAGAAAATACAACAAGCTATCTTACTGGAAAAAAGTACGAAGTAGAGTTCTGAGAAATCCAGCTAGTGATGAAGTGGTCAGCTATTTTAGTCGGCTTGCTTTTGTGCTTCTTTCAGGTAAGGGTTCGTTTGACCTCCGCTTCTGAAACTTAACTCCGGCATGCTTACATTAACCTTACTTATAAGACAAGCGGTATAGTTATTGCCTTGCTCTATATCCTAAAAGGGACAGTCTGAATTATATAATTTTATTTAAATATCTTGCTACTTCTCCACTAACTTGTTTTTTTGCAAAATAAGCAAATACTTACAAATTGTCAAGGGGGTTTGATATTTCAAAAACGTTGAAGCCAAAGACGATAAGCGATAACATATAGATTATTCCAAGATTCCATTATTTTTTTCATCCAATTATTTCCAAATTGGACAGCATGTAGTCCTATTACCTATACTTATTCTCGTCGAGAACACGGAGACCAATGTTGAGGTATCCAGTGTTGCTTGTCAGTGGACGGAACCATTATAAACACCTTTCGGTCTTATCGCCTATCTCCTACTTCCGATAACCTTTTATTGGTGTTCGCTGTAAAACTAGGCAATGTTTCGTTCGCTTCTCTTACGGTCTTGTAGCGTTGCCATCATTGATGGAATACTTCAATTTTTTCAAAGTTTTCGATGAAAGTTTTACTGACTAGAAAATATTGTGTGCGATAAGAAAATTAGTCGTGTCGTGTCGTGTCGTGTCGTGTCGTGTCGTGTCGTGTCGGGTAATACATTATGCAGCACTGCGTTATGGTATGACTGTGAAAGAACATGGCTCACAACCCAAACCATTGAATTGGTGGCATTCTCTAAACCAATCACAGCATGCGAGATCACTGCTTATCCAATTAAAATACTTGGACACAATACCTCGAGTGGTTCTCAGCCAAACTAAAATCTCGTTCGTCGATTGGTTTAATAGACGTCGGGAATTCTTTACCATGACCGTACCTTAAGACTTACTCGAAGCCGACCTCTCTGAGACTCACAGAGAGGCAAGCGAAGCAAGTGGGAAAAATAGCGCGCGTAATCCTACCTGCGTTTTATTCAGTCACAGCGTGCTTAGATTTTTTTCTGCCGGCCCTCATTCCCACGCTATTGTAACCCAATTTTTGCGTATTTTTCTGCTTTCTTTTGGCTAAAATATATAATATACGTGACTACAAGAAGCAGAAATATTTATAAAGGAAGAGTGAAAACAAATTCACTTTACCGTCATGTTTGCTTCGTTCTTACAAGCTCAAAACGGGTAGCGTTGGCCTGTTGTGCGGGAGGTCCTGGTTCGAGCCTCGGCCGGATGTTCTAAAGCCGGATCAACACTCAGGGGCTCAAAATAACTGAGGAGAAGGTGCTGCCTTTGTAATTACACCTTTCAAGTGCTCTCGGACATGGACTTAATGGGGCCCGTCTGTCTTCACTATATAACCCTGTATAAGGCGGACGTAAAAGACTCACTGAAGACGCTGGTGACGACCATCTTCAGTGCCCGTGCTAAACAGGGCCCACTGTAATTAGCAAAAAGCTGTTGAGGTGACCCTGCCCTCATGGGAAAAAAATCCTAAATCTTTTAAGATTTATAAATGCTTTGGACCGGTCATTTTGTCCACTCAAACTTTGCGCACCATGGTGACATGTGAGTAGAGTTGATTTTTAGGTCTCCCTTTGGTATTCCAAGGTACTTCTCCGGGTCTCCGGATTTTCTTCCTCCTTTTAAGACCTGCCACTCTTGTTGTAATTGTGTTGTAGCCGCGCAAAGAAGTATATAAGTAAATGTTATGTAAGAGTATTATAAACTATACTTTACATCTATGTTCTTATGACTACTGCTTCTCTACTAGTTCGAGCATTTCAATATATTTATATCGCGGAATTTGCGCGGTAAAAGTATTAAATATGATTATAATATTTTCATTTTTCCCCTTTTTGCGTGTTTACAGGATAAGGTTGACAGCAGCGGAAGAATCAATGTAGTCTACACTAGGTTCCGTAACCCTAGCGGTGAGGATGCAAATGGAGTAGATTGCGATCCATGGGTCCAAGGAAGACAGTGCGACACGTTCCTGAAGATCTGTGTTGCTTCTCCAACACCACCTACTTCTTCTAACTGTCCAACAAAGATTAGCAAGCAGAACGCGGACTCTTTCACTATGAACATACCCATAAATCCGCCACCATTTAATGCTTTAAGGGTAGTTATAATGTAACGACTGACAGCGCTTTTCTTTCTCCTTCATGCTTTGATCTAATTGATTGATAAGAGCATCCGTCTATTGTGCGAGAGGTCGTGGTTTGATTCCCGACCGGACCAATACTCAGGGTCTTAAGAATAACTAAGGAAAAGGTGCTGCCTGTGTAATTACTTCTGCAAATGGATAGACCTTCACGTGGCTCGGATGACCACGTTAATGGCGGTCTCGTCCCTAATCAACTAGAGACGTTTAAAGAGGACCACCATTTTATCAGTTGAATTACTGTCAAGTGATATCCTCTATTAGCAAAGTTGGTATATTTTTTTGAAATTTGACTTTTCTAGTGCGCGCGTGCGTCCTTTTACCCTCCTCTTTGATAAAGGACTAAAAAGTATTTCATTGTTCATTTTTATTTATTTGCAGAGACCTTATGGATTTTACGTGGCAGCATGGGATAATGATATTGGAAATGATGATCTGATCGATACGTTCTCTTATACCTTCACAAACCAACCAACACCTAATGGTACGATACCACCATGGACAAGTCTATCAGTGAATGGAA